CAACCTGAGATTTCTTGGATTTAAGGCAAACTGTTGAAGCTTTGTCTATTTCTATTTATTTATAAAGACAAACCACTGTGAGGCATTAATAATTACTATCTGAAATTAACACTAATATTATTTTTAAGATTCTATGAAATACTAAATTATACTTTTAAGAATACATTTTATTCTTGCTATGGTTAATGTGAACTAAATAATTTTACTGTGCAAACTGTTGCCTTCTCTAGTATATTAGTATAAGATGTATACAGTTAGGTAAATGAGGAAACTCCACTTCCTATCGCCTGTACCTAAGAGCAGGTGCTCTGTGATGGAGTTACAGCGTAGGAACTATTTAGTAAAATGTGCGCACTGCCATCTAGTGGTATGTCATCATTATTACAAACCTAAACATCTTTTTCTAAAATGATTTGATAGCTTGTCAAGCAATATATTTATACAACTGTCAGACTTTTGAAACAGACCTCTTAATAGCTTCCCAATGACTGACTTAGCACATTTCTCAGTGTTCCCATTTAACTAAGCAAAATAATTGCAATACTTATCTTCCTCAATAGTAATTAATAGTGAACAGTTATTATGCACTAAGCGGTGTATGAAGTACTTTACACAGATTATCTCATCTGATTTCCAAAATTCCCATAACCCTATAATGAAGGAACTATTGTCTCCTTTACAGATGAGGAAACTGAAATTTACAGAAATTAAATGACTTGCCCAAGGTCATAACTTGTAGGGGAAGCCAATCGAAACCCAACTGAATGCCTGGGAATCTGCACTATTCTGCACAGTGATCTGCTCCTTCCAAAGTAATTACCAATGAAATAAAGTTTCTAAAAAAACCTTTATGAAAAAGGCCTTTCTCACTAGGTCTCTAATTATCAAGACAGTAAAATCAATTCAAACTCCACTAACTTGGGATTTATGACAACTAAAGTGAATAAGTATCTGCTTTTGTGGCTGGGATCTGATTTGTGCTTCTTTTACAGTACTCACATAATAAATGCTCAAAATTATATGTTGATTAGTTTACTGAATTTGAGGGACTGGGCTAAAACTTAGATTTGGATTTGTAGATCTGGTCAATTAATAGTAGCATAGTGTGGCTGTAGATCAGAGGCCAGTCAATTATTTTAACACTAATAACTATCATTCATTGAGCACCTATTATGTGCCAAGCCCTTGGTCAGCACTTGTATAAACCTTTCCTTTTTTATTCTCACTATAACTCCCTCTGGGTGGTATTAGTGTCCTCATATCTAAAAAAGAATAATAAAATTTGTAAGGTAAAATAATTTTCCCACTGTTTTATAGTTATTAGTAGAGCCAGGAGTGAAACCTCAATCTTAGTGATTATAAAATCTGTATTCTTTCCACTTTGCCACTCCTGGAAAATAAGTACGTACAATATGCATGATTATAGTTTCTCTGTGTACTACCACCCCCTGTGCAATAATGCCTTCGTCTCTTACTGGGACTAAAGCAATCAGCTGCAGCTACTTCCTTATGCATGCCTGTCCATCTCCATTCCTTTCTTCCCTTACAGTCAAAAAGGATATTTTTAAGCTTCACTTCTGATCGTGTCACTCTCTCTCTTGTTTAAAACCTATGTCTTCACACTCTCAACACAAAGATCAAAATCCTTATCATGGCTACAGTGCTCCTCTAGCCTTATCTAGTGCTCTGGCCCCTTCATGACCATAACATAATCCAGTTTTGTTCCTAGCATTGTGTATATCAGAGTAAGTCATAATTCCAATTATCTGTTTGTGTGACTATGAGTCATGTCTGCATCCTCTTCAGACTGTCAGCTTCCTGAGGCAGGAGCTTCATCTGCATTGTTTGCCATTGAGTCCCCAGGTCCTACCACAGTGCCTTGTACATAATTATGAAAACTAGTTTTATTTAAGTCATGTATAATTACCTAGTCTCACAGCCAGAATTAGTATTTTATTTTTCCTTATATTGAGACCGTAAATGTATGGAAACACAAATATAGATCAATTATTTTTAGTAACTTTCATATGGTTTCTGGACATTTTATTTGTCCACATTATTATTTCCTATGTTACATGCCCTATTCCAAGCATTTCACAGGCACTGCTACCCCCATTTAATCTTCATAGTAGTCATCTGAGGGTAGATGCTATTATCAGCTCATTTTTCTAAGATGAAGACTCAAAGAAGTCGAGTAACATGACAGATGATAGGACTCAAACTAAGGCTTTTGTGATTCTTCATGACTGCCTTATTGCTCTTTAGTGATCAAACACATTTTTCGAAGATCTTATTTCACTGTTGAGTCATTTTCTTGTCATGTGCTAACTTAGTCAACAGATATTCATTAAGCTCCTATAATGTGCAAGGCCAGGGCTGTGAGCAGTTTTCACGACAGTCTCTTCCTGTGGCACATATGATATAGAGGGGGAAACAGACAACCAGCTGGTCTATACAGAGAGTGCAGTAAATGATGGGGACGAACAGCGTTCTAAGGTAGCATGTGGGAGGGATACAAAACCTAGAGGCAGAAGATCCAGAAAGACATCCTTAAAGAAGTGGTACTGACATTAAGGTATGATGGATGAGGTGTAGAGGAGAAGTGAGTTGAGCCAGATCAAAAAGAATTTTGCAAGCAATGTTGAAGAGTTGGATTTCAACTTAATTGGAAGTTATTAAAGGACTTTACACATTATACAAGTGACATATCAGATTTGCAGTTCAGAAATATCATCCTGGCTACAGTGTTTAGAAAGAATTAGAGTTGGAGAAAGAATGAGATGAAAGAACTGACTTAGTCCACCAGTATGAGATAATGGTGATAACACTGGGTGGTGGAATTTGGTGATGGGAATAAGGGTTCATGAGATGGAGGAATTAAAGTGATATTTAGGAGATAAGAGTCCATAGGACTCAGTCATCAGTAGTGTGTGCGATGCGAGGACCCGGGGATGAAATCTGGATTCTAGCTGAGGAAGAGGGAGGGATAAGAGAGTTGGGGCCAATCAGTGAGAAGGGAACCCCAGAGAAAGTCGGTTTGACAGAGAGGAGATGAGTGTAGGCTGGGCAAGCAGAGGCTGAAGTGCCTGAGGGAACCCCATACCCACGGGCCTATTTGCCACTTCCATGGACCTATATGATTTCACCTCTGGGAATCTTGAAAATCTCCCCATGCCCTGCAAAGGCTCGGCCTGGAGAGACCTAGGCATCCAGATGCCTTTCATCTGCCAGTAGCCTTTTCTCTTTCGTGGCTTGTGGCCATTTCCTTCCTATGCCTCTTCTCCGGTACCGATTTCACATGATCCATAGCCAGAAACCAGATGAGAAGAAGCCAGTAGCCTGCTTCTTATAGCGACCTGGCCACAGATACCAATCGGGAATGACAGGCCAGATCTTATCATTACTGCTCCTTTTGCATCCTGCACCCAGACATATCCCCAAGGACTAGATACAAAAGATCTGTAGATCAAATTTGTAGGGAATAATGATAGAAATCCCAGCTATTTCCCTCAAAAAATTAAATAAATAAATTCGTCTTGTAGATACCATCACTTTGGGAGTGCTTTTTTGCTAAATTGAAAAATTAGGCAAATAATATTTTAAAAATACAAATAATTTCCTTATGTGATACTCAGAGAAATTTACAAATTTGGAACCCCATCAATCTGAATTCATCCAGATTTAACATTGAAGTAATTCAGTTGGAAAAGTGATTTGTATTTCTCTGCCCCTAAACCAGAGCTATGTCAAAATTTTTTCTTTTGACATAGCTCACATTGTTTTTTGTTTCATATATTGTGTCTGTATACCAGGCACTACTGCTTTTGAATTCATATATTTCCCATTTAAGGAACACCATCCCCACTTCTTAGGTACAGAAAGGAGGGTCTAAGTCTTTGAGGCTAAGAAGGTATGCACTTGTAATAAAAGAGCCATATTTGGACCTAAGGTAATGTATTCATTACCTTATTCGTGGTATGGTTTCTGGGATGTCATAACAAGATCTCAAGGCAAACAGAAATAGAAATGGATTTCTTGACTAGCCTAGTGAAAGTAACTATGACTTAAGATAAATGAGCTGGTCAATAATGTAGCCAAGAAACTGTTTGTTTGTGACCAGCATAGTGAAGTGATCTGGGACTTCGTTCTTTTCCTACATATAGAGATAACTTGTCCTTTCCTCCATCTTCCTTCCTACCTTAACTTTCCCTTTTCTTCTTATTTCAAACCTTATACTACTAAAAATATGTAAATGAAAATATTTTCAATTCTCAGATGCAGTTTTGATATCCTTCCAAATACTAGAATTTAAGGATTTAAGTATTTTTCTCTCTTATTCTTAGGAGTTAGGATATACAATGGGAAAATGCTTTTAAGCCAAATAGACTTCTTAATTATAAACACTAGTATCTACTTCAAAGTTGCTGAGAAACTAAATCTTAAATGTTCTCACCACAAAAAGGAAACGATAATTATGGAATATGATGGAATATGATGGATATAAGATATAGTGTTTGCTAATGCTATGGTGTAATCTCATTGCAGTATAGGAATGTATCAAATCAACACATTATACAAGTTACACAATGTTATATGATAATTATATGTCATTGTTTTTAAAGAAGCCAGATAGACCGGGGCTTGAATGATTGTTTTGTCATTGACTTGGACCTTTGTGTTTTGTCAGTTAACTTTCCTGATCTTGCTTCCTCACATTAATGTAGGAATTATAGCTGTATTTCAAGAGTCATTATGAAGATTAGAAGTAACTATCCACTGCGGTGTTCAGTAAATCATTTGCTTGCTATTATACATTGTACACTAAGTCTTTGAGATCATACACTATGTACACATACTTATGTCAACCCTTACAGTAGTTGAACCCATACGGAAGCCTGAAGCACCTTGACAAAACAGGACAGGTGGTACATGTAAAATAATGAGTTTGCCTTTCCGTACACTTTGGGCTGATGTGTTCACTCTGTTTTAATTTTATGTAGTGCACCTGGTGGACATTTGGAACGTCATAGAAGCGTTGCGGGAAAATGCTCTGAACAACCTGGACCCAAACATCGAACTCAATGTGGCCCGCTTGGAGGCTGTGCTCTCCACCATTTTTTACCAGCTTAACAAACGGATGCCAACCACTCACCAAATCCATGTGGAGCAGTCCATCAGCCTCCTGCTTAACTTCTTGCTGGCAGCCTTTGATCCGTGAGTGTCTTCCGAATATCTATTACTTTCTGCATGTTTCGTCTACCTGTCTTCTTGTCCTTTGGGTCTTTATTCCAAATAATTTTCTAGAGCATCCTACTGCCTCTTTTTTCTTGATCTTTATCTCAATAAAGTTTCTATGTGTTTAACATAAATTTTAAATGCTGTGGAAAAGACTAGAGAGTAAAATGGTGCCAGGAAATTGAATACAATTTTATTTTATGTGCTGACCTTTATTTAACTCATCCCACACTTTCTAGAAACTATGGACACTTGAAAGTGTTGTGTGATGGCATGCCTGTGAAGCAATTTAATGAAGCATGAAGCAGGAGGATGTTTTTTAACTCCCTTCTTTGCAAATTGCCTAAAACAGTGTTTCTGAGGTGTCATAAAAAGACCCTAGAGCAAACAGCGAGAGATTAAAAAGGATTTCTTGACCAGCCTAGTGAAAGTAGCCATGACTTGCGTTAAATGGACTGGTCAACAGTCTGCCACATAAAACAGTATGATGCCATCCATGCACCACAGTTGAAACTCAGCCTCATTATCTTATAATTTCCCTTCATAGAATCAGAGGCTTTTAGAATTGGCTGAGATTTTAAGGACTGTTCTTCCAAATCTTTCATTTTACGAATGAGGAACTAAAGAACAAAGAGATTGTCACTTGTCCAGTGCCTCTCAGCATGTTAGTGGCAGAGTGGGGACTTAGGTATTCAGCTAAGATTTCTTTTCCAATGCATATGTGGCAGCCTTGTGAAATGTAAAAACTCCTCTGAATTATACTGTCAGCCTAAAATTTCAAAGGGGCTCTTGCTAATAGCCCCTGGTCTGGATATCATATCAACACCTCTACTTTCACTACTGGTTTTGAATATTAAAAAGGAAAATTTACTAACTTGACCTTTCAGCAATCACATTTTAAGACTCTCAGAAGACTTTTCTCAGTCTCATTGTCTGGCCAATGCTTAGGAATATTTAAGCCCAGCACTGGAGATGTTCCAGCCAGGCTAATGTTATTATGCCACTTACATACAAAAGTCACCAGCTGTCACTTTGCATCCTAGAGTGGTAACAGAATTGTTTGTGCTCAGTTCGAACAGTATACGTTATTGTCTCTGTGATGTTTATGTTTTGAAAAAGTCTCTAGTTAAAATAAATGACTTTGAAACAAGCAGTCCGTGTGATAGATTCCGTTTTCAGTCTGTGCAGAGTTCAGTACCAATGTACTGCTTTGGGCTCATTGCTGTGGTAAACGCAGGGCAAGTAGCAGGGCTGTGATTCCACATGGCAGGTAGCAGAATGGAACTAGGCTATGGAATTGCTATAACAGCATTTCCACCCTGTCCCCTTAGCAAGAGCATGGCAGCTTTCAGACTTTCCATTCAAGTCTTCTGGGGACTGATTGGTTATAAGCGTTAACAACGGAAAATGTAAAAAGAGAAATATAATGTCTTGCTAAATCTTGGAGTGTTGCTAGAGGATTCATAAGGAATCAAAGCTAAAGAATAATTTTGACCCATTCTATAAATACAGTAAAAGGGTCAGATTAACAATGAGTAAGGGGATTTTGTAAAATATATGGGAGTTAAACTAATAGGGTTAGATTTTTCACTTTTGTTGAGAAATATTGGGAATATCATTTCAAAAAAATAGAATTGTAAATGTTTTCTAAATAACTATGATAATATGGCAGAATTATTTCAAGATCGATGAATGCTAAGCTTAAGGACAATACCAAGGTAAGGGACAGTTCACACAAATGTTCAGAAGAAATGTTTGTTTGCTCCCTACTCTTCATACAGATAGGAAGACCCGTAATGTGTACTTTTAGCAGTCTCATTGTAGATTTATAAGCACATCCACATAAAGAAATCTCACTGAAGAGATGTTTAGACACATCCACATAGAAACCCCAGTCTGCAGGTACTTCTGCCTTCTGTCCTTTGACATAGCAAATGAGTCTAAGCAGTTCTTCTCATACTCAAATTTTCCATCTGATAGCTGTTCAAGTTTTAGACAATAGGAAATGTAAGCCATCAGGAAGTACTGATACCTGAAAATACAACTTAGAAGTGAATATAAGAAGAGAAACAGGAATAAAATGAATGTTTAATTCTACTTCTTATAATAGTAATATTATAGTAATAGTAATAGTAATAGTAATATTATAATTTCCATTTATCCAAATGAGATCCAGGATGGAAATTTGATGTCACTTCCTACCACCTATCCCATGACAGAATGACAGAACCCAGGTGTTTAAGGGAGCCGTCCACATTTTGGTAGACATGAATGAGCCTGATAGGCTCCTGCTGTTATAGAATCACTAAAACGTTTTTTTAATTTATTTTTATTTTTATGGTTACATTGGTTAATGAAATCCAGTAAGTTTCAAGTGTATAATTCAACAGTAAGGCATATATATATTGCACTGTAGAATCACTGAAACATTTAAGAGATTTTCCCTTATTTACTGTATTTTAAATGAAAGTATTTTTTTGATAAAACAAAAAAATTCTAAATAAAAGTTAGAGATGCCTTAAGAACCTAGACTCTTAAAAGAAATGTAAAGGGAAAAAAAGCGGGGTGGGGGAGACAGTATAGCAATTTAAACTCAAGAAGTATATGAACTTGCTTTCAAAGAAGTGTGGTCATTATTTTGGTGGTACCTTAAAATTAACCAGACCCAGCCAGATGGACTCTGCCAAGAAAATGGTCTGAAATGAGGCTCAAAGCCCACTTTACTTGAATGTATCCCCGGGAACCAGATTTGCCTTCCCACAACCATGGTTCCCCAAGAATAACACTTCCCCTTTATCTCCCCCAAAAGATACTTGGATCTCAGTTCTCATACAGACCCTAATCAGTTTCCTGGTTCCAGGGTTACCCTGTCTTTTGGCTAAGACAACCTCTTAGGAAATATAGTACATAGCTATATACATAAGATTGACAGAATGTTAGGACCTAGTATTTAACCTCAGTGGCCTATGTCCATGCTTGCTGTTCTAACATTGAATAGGCAATCTCTCAAGTCTAGCAGATTTTTGTCCTTTCTGTCTTTCCTTCTAAAAATGGCTGAATTCCTGGGAGGGGGTCAGCCAATGACATTGTCAACCAACTTCTAAGCAGACACTTTCCACACCCAAAAGCTAACTTCTCTAGGGTCTCAAGGGAAATGGAGGGGTGTACGGGAAGGATGGGAAAGAGGATCAGAAGAGAAGGGCTGGAGGGTGCGGGGGGAGGAGGAGAATATTAGGAAATAGCCAATCTTCAGTAAGACTCCTCCTCTTGTCTGATTCCTTCTGTGTACTTCAAGAACTGGCCTGCCTTCTTCCCTCGTTTGCTGCCAGCAGCCTTCCACTGGAGGCTTTCTCCTTCAGAACCCACTAACAAATTGGCAGTTTTTCCTCTCACCTCTTGTCCATATACTGGGGTGGGGGGTGGGGGGTGAATCTCTTTGGCTGTGTTCTAAGGACTTTTATTGTTATTATTTTTTAGGAAATTGAAAGTAACAAAAGAAAAGCAACATGGCAGAACCTTACGAGATGAAAATAATTATTTTTAAAATAGCTTTATCGGGGTATGATTGTTACCTTGAAAATAATCTTTAAAAATCTATAACGTGTGGCCTTTTTGAGAGATAAGGTCACAAAATCTGATACACAGTGGAGCCCTGCACCTCTCATGGCCAAGTTGATCACCCTTCTCCAGGTGCCATAGTTCCTTTCACAAAATTCTGCTGTTCTCTTACAGTGCATGTCTTACTGCTGGTCTGACTGCCTCCCACAGGTTAACTTAGAGAGGGACCATGTCTTCGTTGTATGCACAGCATCTGAGACAATACCCAGCTCGTAATCAATCACCGAGTGAATGAATGAATGAAAATCAAAGGTTGACTTTTCTTATCTCTTGTCACACTAACTTATTCTTTTTCTAAGATTTAATCCTTCTCAATCTCCAGTATATCATCAAGACTAATGAGTCCAAGTTTGCTCTGTCACCTAGATTCATACCCTCTAGTTTTATTTCTCCACAGAGAAGAAAACCAGATATTCATGGTGGCTAATGGACATGTCCTATTTTCACAAAAGACTTCAATGTACTTCCCTTATGCTCTTTCTACTTCCCAAGGAAACACTACTAATTTTAGTCTGTTGATTGAGTCTCATTGCAATTTAGGAGAATCTTTCTTCTTAAGACAGTTCCTCATAAAGTAGATTATGTGACAGTGGCCTTGTTTTTAGCAAATATTATTTTCACATATATTCAGCCATTCAAAACTTATAGTAGGCAATGACAAATATTAAAAGGAAGAGTGATTTTTCCTACTTTTGGGTTCAAGCTATATTCTTAATGCCAATTCTCTAATAATAATAATAATATAATAGTTGTAATAATAGCTGAAATGTACTCATTTACTGTGTGCCAGCAATCTTACTGGTTTGGCACTAGTATTATAATTTTCTAAGTTGAGTAAATGATGAAACTGAGACAGAGAGTTTAAATAATTTGCAAGTCATATAGCTTCATACCAGTTGAGGTGAGTGGAGAAAAAAATCGTTTTGTTTCAGGAATCAGTTTAAGTTCAGATCTATTCATGTTTTCTGTTTCATTTTTTAAAATGAGAATTAATGTACTTTTTTTCCTAGGCTTACTCTGCTTATTACAGGATATTATTATTACACTCACATTTCTAACCTTTTCAGTGTGTGGTATTTAGACATAATTTGACAGAATGTATGTGAAAGAAATATTTAGACTTAACAAGTTTTGCATCGTAGATTTAGTCAGTTTTATGACAGCCACCCAGAACTCCAAATTCATGGTAAAATCATCTTTCACAGAGAATACAGAATCCTGGTATTTTTCTCTGTGTTTGACATATCATACCTGGCTGAGCCATTTGAACATCTGTTCCCTCTGCTAAGCCCCCACCCCACCCCCAGCACTAGGAAAGGTACCACAGCACTATTTTAGATAGATGGATGTGAAATAATCCT